CATGATGTTTACATTTCACAAATTTGCTGGGGATAAAGGCTACTTAACAAAGGAGGACCTGAGAGTACTCATGGAAAAGGAGTTCCCTGGATTTTTGGAAAATCAAAAAGACCCTCTGGCCATGGACAAAATAATGAAGGACCTGGACCAGTGCAGAGATGGCAAAGTGGGCTTCCAGAGCTTCTTTTCCCTAATTGCGGGCCTCACCATTGCATGCAATGACTATTTTATAGTACACATGAAGCAGAAGGCAAAGAAGTAGGCAGAAATGAGCAATTCCCCCTGCCCTGATAAGAGTTGTCCCAAAGGGTCACTTAAGGAATCTGCTCCACGGCTTCCCCCATATAAGGATTTCATGAGCAATCAGGACCCTTAGCAAGTATACAAATAATATCTAACTCCCACTGGACGAGCAGAGAAAGAAAAGTTAAATGCCAGACAAGCTTTTGATTTTTGTATTGTTTGCATCCCCTTGCCCTCAATAAATAAGTTCTTTTTTAGTTCTGAAAAAAAAGATATATATGTTAAGCTCTAGAGCATTCATTTAAAATATAACTAAAAAATCAACAAAGGATATAAAATGTCACAGAGTGATCCCTCAGTATCTGTGGGGGCTTGGTTTCAAGCCAAGGTTCCAAAAGAGGAACCCTGCAGATACAGAAATCCACAGATGCTCGAGTTCTTTATATAAAATTGTATACTATTTGCATATAACCTACATACATCATCCTGTATACATTAAATCATTTTTCGATTACTTATAATACCTAATATAAGGTAAATAGTTGTTATTCTATATTGTTTAGGAAATCATGATTTTAGAAAAGCATGTATATGTTTAGTACATACACAACCAACCATTTTTCCCCAAATATTTTTTTATCTGCAATTGGTTGAATCCAAGATGAAGAATCCATGGATATGAAGGGTTAACTATCATAGAAAATATTCACTTAATGCAAACATAATATGTGTAATGAAAATGTCAGATGATGTTGTTGAAAAGGTGGACAACACACATAAACAAGTGAGGGTTTCTGGTAGAGAGCTTAAAGCTATAAGAAAGAAGGTAATGGAAATGTTATAAATAAAACCATATGGGACATGAGGAATTATTTCATAGGCTCATTGGTAGATACAATATAGCTGAAGAAAGAATTAACAAACTTAAAAATAGGCCAAAGTATATGCACAGTACGTGTTTCCTAGATTTACTACTGCTATGATTTGAATGTCCCTTTCAAAACTCTTGTTGCAATTTGATTGCTGGCCAGGTGCAGTGGCTCACGCCTGTAATCCCAGAGTTTTGGGAGAGCTGAGGCGGACGGATGACCTGAGGTTCGGAATTCGAGATCAGCCTGACCAACATGGAGAAACCCCGTCTCTATTAAAAATACAAAATTAGCCAGGCATGGAGGCGCATGCCTGTAATCCCAGCCACTCGGGAGGCTGAGGTAGGAGAATCACTTGAACCTAGGAGGTGGAGGTTGTGGTGAACTGAGATGACACCATTGCACTCCAGTCTGAGCAACAAGAGCAAAACTCTGTCTCAAAAAAATAAAAGAAAGAAATTTGACTACCACTATAACAGTGTTGAGAGGTGAAACTTTTAAGAGGTAATTAGGTTATGACGGTTATGCTCTCAGGAATGAATTAATGTCACTATTGGAAGAATGGTTTCATTTTCATGAGAGTGAATAAATTCATGACAGGGCAAGAGAGTTCAACCTCGTTCAACCTCTCTTGCTCTCTCTCCCTCTTGCATTTCTGCCTTCCACCATGGAATGACACAGCATAAAGGCCCTTGCCAATGCCAGCACCATGACTTTGCACTTCTCAGCCTCCAAAATCATGAGCCAAATAAACTTCTTTTCTTTACAAATTACTTAGCCTGTGCTATTCTAACAACCAAAAACAGACTAAGATAGAAAATGTGCACCAAGAGTGGGGCTTTTGCTATAACAACTGAAAATGTGGAAGTGGCTTTTAGCTGGGTAATGAGCAGAAGTTGGAAGAATTTGGAAGAGCAGGCTAGAAAAATCCTAGACTGCCATGAATTGAACATTAAAGGAAATTTTAATAAGAACTCAGAAGAAAAGAAGAAATGTAGAAAAATCTGAAGTTTTTAAGAGATTACTTATGTGGTTGTGATCAGAATATTGGTAGAAATATGAAAAGTCATGGCCAGTTTGATGAAAGCTGAGTCAGAAAGAGGAATGTCCATCCTTTTTATAAAGGCCATCGTTTTATATGAAGTGGCAAGGAACTTAACTGAATTGTGCCTGCATTAGTCTGTTCTCACATTGCTATAAAGAAATACCTGAGACTGGGACATTTATCAAAAAAAAGAGGTTTAATTGGCTCTCAATTCTGCAGGCTTTACAAGAAGTATAGTGGCATCTGCTTTTTGGGAGACCTCTAGAAGCTTGCAATCATGGCTGAAGGCAAAAGAGAAGCAGGCACCTTTCCAACGGCAGGAGCAGGAGCAAGAGACAGGGAGGAGGGTCTACACACTTTTAAATGGCCAGGTCTCATGAGAACTAGCTCATGATCTATTGCAAGGACAGTACCAAGGGGAATGGTGCTAAATCATTCATGAGAAATTTGCCCCTTTGATTCAATCACTTCCCACCGGGCCCCACCTACAACATTGGGGATTACAATTCGACCTAAGGTTTGGGCAGGGACACAGATTAAAACTATTATCAGTGTCCATGCCCATGGGCTTTATGGAAGGCAGAATTTAAGAGTGATGAATGAGACTATCTGGTGGAATAAATTTCTAAGCAAAATATGGAAGGATCTGCATGGCTACTTTTGACCATATACAGTAAAATGTAAGAGAAAAGAAATAACTTAAAGGTGGAATCTATAACTTAAAAAAAAAAAAAAGCAGAATGGAAAGATTTTGAAAATGTTCAGCCTGCCCACATGAAGAATGAAAAAGTATGTTTAAGAGAACAGACCAAGAGTGTGACCAAGTGACCATTTGCTATGGAGATTAGTATAAATAGAAGGGCTCATCAAGACAATGGACATTTCAGAGACCTTTGAGGCTGCTCATTCCATCACAGGCCTAGAGATCCAGGAGGGCAGAATGGCTTTGGGGAATAAGCACAGGATGCCCTTCATAGGCTAGCTGCCCAGAGGCACCTGGAGTTCCTGCTTCCTGCATTCCAGGACAGTGTTCTTTGGCTGCTCCTGGTGTGGTCCAAGTAACCCCAGATGTGGCTTGACCCAACACTCTGGTAGAAAGGTACAACTGGTAGACTTTAGTGGCATCCATTTGGTGTTAATTCTATAGGGATGTACAATGCAAGAGCTATGAAGGCATGACTTCCTCCACCTAGATTTCAAAGGACGCCACAGGAAGCCTGCAGGCTGAGGCAGAAACTTGCTGCAGGAACAGAGCCACCACAGAAATTCTTTACCAGGGAATACCTACTGAAGCTGTGGGAGCAGAACTGCCCCTGACACTCGAGAACTTCAGAGCTACTAGTGTGCACTGCCAGCCTGAGAGAACTGCAGGCACTAGACTCTAACCTGTGAGAACTGCTGAATGGACTGACCACAGCAAAGGCTTGAGGGCTCAACCCCAACCCCAGGGTGACCAGGATGTGGGACAGGGAGTCAAAGGAGATTATTTTCCAGCTTTATGACTTAATGTTGGTTTCCCTGTTGGGTTTTATACTTCCTTGGGACAAGCCACCTCTTTCTTCTTGCCTATTCCTTTCTTTTGGAATGGGAAAGTCTATTCTATGCCTGTCTTACATTATATTTTGGAAAGATGTAACATTAGTTCACAAGCTTATACAGGTGAAGAGAAATTTTCCTTGGGACAAATCATGCCTTGAATCTCACCCATATCTGATTTAGATGAGACTCTTGACTTTGGACTTTTGAGTTGGTGCTGGAATCTGTTAAGACATTTAGCAACTATGGGGATGGGATGAATGTATTTTGGATGTGAGAAGGATGTTACTTTTGGGGAACCAGGGGTGGAATGCTATGATATGAATGTCCCCTCCAAAACTCATGTGGAAGTTTAATTGCCATTGTAACATTGTTGAGAGGTAAGACCTTTAAGAGGTGATTAAGTCATAAGGGATATCCCCTCATGAATGAATCAGTGCTGTTTTCACAGGAGTGGGTTTGTTATTCCGAGGGTGGATCTGTTATAAAAGTGCGTTTGGCCCTCTCTTGCTCTCTCATTCTCACCCTCTCTTGCCCTTCTACCTTACACCATACAATGACACAGCACGAAGACCCTTGCCAGATGCCTGTGTTACGCTCTTGAATCATAAGCCAAATAAATTCTCAGTGTCCAGAATCATAAACCAAATAAGTTTATTTTCATTATAAATAATCCAGGCTAGTATTATTTATATTCTGTTATAGCAACACAAAATGGACTACCACTATTTAATTATGACTATACTAGAACTTAATTATAGAAATCTATCTGATTATTTAGCTCTTACATCTTTTTTTTTCTAGTGTAGCTTTTTAAAATATATATATTTTATTGCTCTTTAGGTTCTGGGGTACATGTGAATAACATGCAGGATTGTTGCATAGGTACATACATGGCAATGTGGTTTGCTACCTCCATCCCCATTACCTATATCTGGCATTACTCTCCATGTTATCTTGCCTCAACTCCCTACTCCCCACTGTCCCCCCCCACTCTCCCCCACAGACCCCAGTGTATGATGCTCTGCTCCCTCCGTCCATGTGTTCTCATTGTTCAACACCCACCTATGAGTGAGAACATGTGGTTTTGATTTTCTGTTCTTGTGTCAGTTTGCTGAGAATGATGGTTTCCAGGTTCATCCATGTCCCTGCAAAGGACATGAACTCATCGTTTTTTATGACTGCATAGTATTCCATGGTGTATATGTACCACATTTTTCCTGTCCAATCTATAATTGATGGGCATTTGGGTTGGTTCCAAGTTTTTGCTATTGTAAACAGTGCTGCAGTGAACATACGTGTGCAAGTGTCTTTATAACAGAATCTTGTATCTTATGTTTCCACCAGAAGTTGATTTTTAAAAAATCTATTCTCCAGCATTCAGATCAATACTTAGTATTCTCAGAGTTTTATGTTTTTCCAATCCGATGGATGTGATGTAGTGAACGGCTAATCTGGCAAGTTATTTAAATTCTCTGAGCCTCTATTTTCTCATCTGTTAAAGGATACATCTCTGGGTTAATGAATTAGAAAAATGGTAATCTTTCTGCTTAGAACAGATCCTCATTAACTGGTCTTGGAAACTATGGGCACCTTTGTTTAAGCAAAAGTCTCCCCTTCCTCCAGCCAATGCAGTCCCACCAGGGCCCATTGGTTGGCTTGCAGAGCATGGACTGGCTGAATTTAAAGCCCATTCCCCACCATGTCTGGTGCTTTAATACAATGCAATCTACCCAATCCATACATGATGGTTGTTGCTCCTCACAAGACAACAAGGCATCCTCACACAGTCCTCTTTAAAATTCTCAGTAACCTCATCATCCTACTGCTGAACAGCTCAATGTTCTCACTTACTTTAGGGCTGGCAGGATCTGCCGATTGTTGTTGTTTAGGTAAATTTCTTCCTTATAAGCCCTTCTTCCAATATTATGTGAAATTCTAACAGTTAGATTACCAAACAGCCAATCCTTGGAATTGCTAGAAATCTGGGAGTCAAAAAGATAGCCTCTTATTTTTTTTTTAATTCTGCCCACAGAGAAAATACACATGATGGTATTGAGACTGTTGGATTTGAGAGACGAAGAATCAAAAGAAATTATAAAGTTTGAAGTCTATATCTGGATACAGCCTGAACAGACATAGTTGTTTTAAACAGCTATAAAATACAGGATGCTCTCTAGAATTAGTCATTTAGTTCTTATTTGCCCCTGTCCCTATGCCCATCACAAAGATGGGCAGTGAAAGAAATCTGCTGAAGCTTAACAAAAATAACTTTTCCCCCATTTTTATCCTCAAATATTTTTATCTTTTTACACCACAAAGATTTGCTGAATGAGAAGCATTCCCATCCTCATGTTATCATTCTAGACTAATTCTGTGACAAAACATAAACATGTTACACTTACTTTGCAGTGTCAGTGGGGCAGAGAAAAAGAGCCTTAGGATATCTAAAATATATATGGTCATCTTGTCAAAAAGTTGCACAAAAATAGAGGAAAGGACTTAGCAACAGTTGATGAAGGACCAAAGTGAGCATCTCTACCTTTGTACTCTGATTAGGATACCTCTCTCAGTCCACCTCCCTCCTCAATTCCTCCCTTCCCCAGAAAATACATTTTCAGAGGTAGACTATAAGAAAATTTATTGGACTAATAGAACTCTTAAAAATATATATGCATTTCCTTTCACTAGTCTCTCCCAAATCACAAGAATATGTTCAACAGTGGAAACAGGCAGGAACTAAGGCTATGAGATTCTCCCGGGCAGAGAATGGATTTAATTTTTACCAGCCTAATCTACTTCCATAGTGTGTACACACTCTTTGACTTTTGTAATGATGATAAGAGAAGAGAGGAGTTAGAGTTCTCTAGGTGACTTAATAATTGACAGTGAGGCTTGTACCACCTAACACTGACTTCGAGAACAGCTAATCTTTGAGGAGTTGACAGCAGCGTTTTGCTCCATCTTGGAGGACCTCTTTGACTTTGTCATTCCGGAGAGTAAAGATGAAAGGGTTTAGGAAGGGGGTTAACACAGAAACCAACAGGGAAACTATCTTATTGTACTCGGCTCCCTGCATTTGCTTGGGTTTCACGTAGAGAAACAAGCAGCTGCCATAGCCAATCACAACACAGGTGAAGTGGGAGACACAGGTGGAGAAGGCTTTCCTCCGGCCAGAGGCTGACGGGATCTTGAGGATGGTGGAGATGATGTAGGTGTAGGAGACAATTGTGGGGATCAAAGAACCAATGAGAATAACAACAGCCATTAAGAAGAGGATAAACTCTGTGAAAAGAGTGTTGTCACAGGACAGCTTGAGCAATTGCCCTCGGTCACAGTAAAAATGGTCTAAGGAATTCGATTTGCAGAAGGTAAACTGAAATGTGGCATAGACCGGCCAGATTTCAGAAAGAAATCCAAACACCCATGACACAATTACCACCCAAATACAGGTACTGCTGTTCATAATGATGTTGTACCTCAAAGGGTTACACACAGCCACATAACGGTCCACGGCCATCACTCCAAGTAATGCAAACTCCGTGGTCCCCACAGCGAGGTACAGGAAAAGTTGAGCAATACACGCAGACAAAGACACTGTCTGCATCCCAGGAAGCAGCAATCCCCAAAGCATCATGGGGACAATTATGGTTGTGATCAGGATCTCTAGGGCAGAGAGGTGGCCAAGGAAGAAATACATGGGAGACTGCAGACGTTTATCCACACAGACAATCACGATGATGACTGTGTTTCCCATTAATGTCACCAAGTAGAAGAAAAAGAATATAGCAAAAAGAATCTGGTGTAATTCTTGGGACCCAGAGAAGCCTAGAAGGTGGAATTCAGTGGCACTGGAGTGGTTATCCATCATTTAGTCCTTAATTCTGCTTCTTTTGAAGCCCAGGGATTAAAAGAGAGGTGGCATTGCTCTACATGGTCCTTCTCTCTAGAGAGAAGAAAGAAAGATTAGGATAAGAAACTATTTCCAACCTGAGAATCAGGTGACATGTTCCTACTACTGTGCTCAGCACATAGCTTGAGGGACATGTTGTCACCCCAGGTCTACATGTGAGGCTCTCACTTCCCAGTGTAACCAGCCCCCTGGAGTGGGTGAAGACATCTTCTATTGGTGGTGAAATACCTTCCTGGTCTTTTTCCCCACTAGATGCAGCTTCTGTCAGCAGGCAGAGGCTAAGACCTTTTAAATAGGCCAGTTTTGAAGCTGAGTCAATCAGGTCCCTCTGGTCTTGGAGCTGCCCTAATTTCTCTTAGGTTACCTGTGCCAGATGACATAAAGGCATCTGGCACAGATTTATATGATGTTCAAAGGATGGAACTTTAAACCCCAGCTCTCATCTGTAATGGTAGTGCATGAATCCACCTTAGGGCCTGCAGAAAATCCCTGCTGTTCCAAATTTTAAAATCTCCATTTTACAGAGCAGCAAGATCTCTAAATGAGAACCCTGGAGCTTGGGATAATTTCCCAGAGCAAATCCATTCTTCTCTAATTCCATTTTCCTTCCAAAGTTGAGGGAGGAAGGAAAGACGGCACCTGGCACAGATAAGGAATAGATCTGGGACTGCCAGCTGTTAAGGATGCCTGGCTCTCAGCCTGTCGCTTCATCCCATTATTCAAATGTCACCCTTCCAAAGACTCTTTCCAATCACTCTGCCCAAAACAGAAAGATACACTCATTACTGGACTTCCGTTTTTTTCATAACAGTTGTTATTACCTGGTATTATGTCTAATTATTTACTTAATTCCTTCATTTAACAATAAACAAATGTAGTCATGAACAGAACAAAGAAAATTCCATGTCCTGTGGAGCTTATATTCAAGGAAGAGGTGGGGGCTAGACCACACACAAGACACATAAGAAAAATATGTAATAGTCTAGTTTATTAATCACGCCACAGGGAAAAAAATTAAGCAAGGAAGAGGAAGAGGAAGTTTAAGTGTATTTAGTATTTATCTATGACATTAGAATATAAACTTCATAAGGGCTAGGACATATCTTCACTGTTGTATTCTGAGGCTGGCACATAAAATTTACATACATAAATTAAGTAGTTATATATCATATATAACTTTTATATAGCTAGATATTACATAATATATATCATAGATATATATTATGTATTAAGTTATATATTAATTCATCACAAGGGAACCCAACTAACAGCTGTCTGAGTCAAGACGGAACCCAGGTCTGTCAGATTTCATCACCTACACAGCTAACTACCATACCTTATATTATTTATTATATTATTTATCTTATCTTACTAACAAGAGATATATAAAATATATATCATATATGTTTTATTTATGAGATATTTAAATATATAAGATATATATGTCATATATTTATGTATAGGATGTATATGTATGATTACATAATCCTGTTCTGGCCAGGGCAGGTTGGGCCACGTTCCCTCAATCCTACTCCAGTTGGTTTTCCTTCCTCCTTCACATTACCATTTTCCTTCCCTCCCTTACCTTCCTTAGGTAACCCCCTCCCCGTCTCTTTCACTGTTTCACTAATGGTTAACAAAGCTTCAGGGGCAGGATTGATAGGAAAGCTCAGTGGTCTGCTTTTCCACAACCTCTGCATAACCAGCACAAGATGAGGAACCATGAGCGAGAAGGACCCCGACTATCAGGGAGCTGTGTCTATGTCCAGCATTGGGTCTGAGAGGAGCTGGAAGTGCTCTCTGCTATGCAGGTAGGATTTGGAGATTAGCCTGTACACTCTGCTGCTCCCCCAGCCCACACTTCAAGATCTAGAAGATAGGTAGACCTAGAACGTCCCACCCTAAACTACTCTCACCCTCTCCTTCACAGAGGAGAACCCTTAGGGAGACACTCACCTCTATGGAGGGGCTTCGCTGCCCCTTCTAATTTTCTCTAGGGCTCCACTGAGGCTACCTCCTGTCTTGCTGGTGCTGAGCCATGCACGGGCCAAGGCAAGTTGCTGCCGTCTCTACTCATGGTGAAGAAGGAAACTGTCCTCACAGAAGAGCTTAGAAAAAGCCCAGAAATAAGTGTTGTTCAAAATTGGAGGTCCTCTCTCTCTCTGCTCCCCTCCCTCTTCCCTTCTTCCCAAAGGTACTTAGTCACCGAGGTACCTCTTCTTAATTAGCCCACTTTCAGGGAGTCCCCAGGCAATCAGTCTAGTGGGAGCAGAACAAATTCTAAGTTGTTCCCATTTTTGACCAATTAAGTTTTAGGACTTTTGAAAGGTTTTGTTTGGTGGGAAAACCTGAAATCTTACCAATCAGGGACTTCTTAATACCAGGATTGCCTTCCTGCAAAGCCTCAAGTCTATGTTTCCGGGTGTCTCTGAGTCTAAACAGTTAACCCCCTCTGTCCTTAGACTTTTCTCAAGTTTTTCCAGTTGTTTGGAGCCCAAATCAATCTCCTTCCCACAATAGGAGGCACCACAATTGGCTGCTAAAACATGCACCAATATCCCAAAAAAGTCTGTATATTGGTCTTGATCAAAACCTTAACTTCACCAAAATCCTCTAAAAAGCCTGATGACTCCTTCATTCACTTTGGAAAGGCTCCTGCTCTTAGTCCTGTAGACCCTACAGAATATTGTAAGAGGTTCCACCCCTAAATTGAACTCTATTCTGTGGTATTGCCTCAGGTTTTCACTCCTCTGAACGTATGTGCATCTGCATGCATTGGAGCAAGATTCTTCCAGCCGTTTTTTTTTTTTCCCCATGGCATGTCCCTGATTACCAGCTGGACCACTGTAAAGTAGAGAGAGCATAAGGACAGCTTATGTACGCAGTTATGTTTGCAACCTGGAGGAACTGACAAAATGTAAATTGGAAATCTGTCTAGTGCTGGAGTAAGACAGAAAAAGTAGGAATTATAAAACATTTGTCTGCATTGTGGTTTTCATTTTTAGTATTTTTAAGTATACCTGTTAAGTCTGAGAATTTCAACTGGTGCCTAAGGGTATAAGTTGGGAATAATCTTTCTTCCAATTCCTTAAATTGACCCAACCCAACTACTTGCCATACAATTTTAGAGAAATTTTCCAAGCATATATCTCCATATCCTTTTTTGCAAAGGCTGTGAAAATCTGTTTGCAACCTCTCTTCCTCATTTAACAACATATAAAATATAACTTTCCATATCAGCACATATTACTCTACCTCTCTTTTTTCACATAGGATTCCATTATGCAGATGTCTCATTCTTTACTAGATAGCTCTCTATTAATTAGTTTTCATTATTGTTTCCATTTTTAATTATGAAAAAAAATGATGCTATAAATATTCTTAGATCTTTGTAAGTACATAAACAATTATACTTCTGAAAAAAATTCCCAGAGTTAGAATGGCTGGGTCCAATGCAGGTGTACTGAAGCTATCACCTTTTATTGGCACAAAATTACACTCCAAACATTTTGTATTGATTCACACAATTACTAAGACTCTATAATACAAGGGATCTTGTTTTCCTGGTCTGTTATAAGTGGAAGGCATAATTAAAATTTTAATTTTAAGTTGAAGAGAATAAAAATAAGACACCTTAAAAGGGAAATCAATTAACAACCCTGATGAAATGGAAACATTTTTGAAAGATAAAAATGACCAAAACTGACTCAAAAACAAATGTAACAACTGAATATTCCCAAATATGTTAAATAAATTAAATTCACAATTAAAAACTTTCCCACACAGAAAACCAGATGGCTTTACTGGTATATTCTACCAAATATTTAAGAAAGAGGCCGGGCGCGGTGGCTCAAGCCTGTAGTCCCAGCACTTTGGGAGGCCAAGGCGGGTGGATCACGAGGTCAAAAGATCGAGACCATCCTGGTCAACATGGTGAAACCCCATCTCTACTAAAAATACAAAAAATTAACTGGGCATGGTGGTGCGTGCCTGTAATCCCAGCTACTCAGGAGACTGAGGCAGGAGAATTGCCTGAACCCAGGAGGCGGAGATTGCGGTGAGCCGAGATCGCGCCATTGCACTCCAGCCTGGGTAACATGAGTGAAACTCCGTCTCAAAAAAAAAAAAAAAAAAAGAAAAGAAAAAATACTAGTCCTACAAAATATCATCTAGAATATTGAGGAGAAGTGAACACTTTCCAGTTTATTTTATAAGGCCAGAATTATCTTGGTACTAACAACATCACAGGAAAATAAATCTATACACCAGTATCTCTGAGGAACATAGATGTAAAATTCCTTTAAAAATTAGCAATATGTAAGGAGTATAGTAAACTAGAACAAGATGGTGATTTTTATCTCAAAAATGCCAAGTTGGTTTAACATTAGGAGATTAATCAAAGTAATTCACCATATTAACAAAATCAAAGAGAAAAATCATGTGATAATTTGGATAGGGGCAGAAAAGACATCTGACAAAAAAAAATCAACATTCATTTCTTAAAAACTGGCAAGAAAAGCTCTTCCTCAAACTGGTAAACAGAATCTATTAAAAAACAAAAAACAAACAACAACAACAACAACAAAAAGCCTGGCACTAACAAAGCTAATGGTGAAAGGCTTAACACTTTTCTTCTAAGATTGGGAACAAGAAATGCTATCTTCAGTAACCATTTCTACTAAACATTGTGGTGGAAGTTTTAGCCAATTCAATAAAGCAAGAAAATGAAATAAAAAGCATACCATTAGGAAATAAAAAATAATTTTTTATTTGCAAATAACATAATCTCTATATGTTGCAAATCCTAAGAAGTCCAGAGGAACTAATAAGTGTGATTATCAAGGTCACAGGATAAAAGGTCAATATACAAATAAATCTATGGTATTGTTATACACTAGCAATAAACATTGGAAATGTAAATAAATAATACAATTTATAATAACATTCAAAACATGAAGAAAACTAAGGAATACATTTAACAAGCTATATGTAAGACCTATACACTTAAAACTATAAAAAATTCCTGAGAGAAATTAAAGGAGACCTAAACAGATGGTGAAATGTTCTATTATCATGAATCAGAATATTCAATTTTGCTAAAATGTCTACTCTCTCCAAATTAGATTATA